TGTTAATCGACACGATACCGGCGAGATTAAATATTTTAAGAGAACCGGCAAAAATTAAAACTAACGTATCGACACACGTATTCAACGCCGCGGTGTGTAAGCCGCTCATCGATTCGAAACATAATGACTTGGTCATGGAAACACACGTGAGAATACCAAAACAATGAACAAAAAGGGCTACGTCATCACCCGTAGATCGCCAATTGTTGCTGCCAACCATTGAACGGCCGAGTGATCAAAACAATCAACAAAAGTGAGTTTCCAGAGGGAAATATCCCAGACCTTCAAGGTATCATCATAGTTCAGGAGTACGCATTAAAAGCTTCATACGTAACATTCGATTATCGACAACGGTTAATATGCGATTGTTAGCTAACGCTGTGTGTCTGATCGTATTTTCGCGTGAGACTATCGAGTGCCTGTCCACGATGGCGATCAGGAGCTCATTCCAGAACGAAGGACGCAGGATGTAACAGCATTCAACGACGATTAACTTCTAACTTTTTTAGCCCTTGAGAACTTTTAACTCCCATCGAAATTTTTAACGCAAATTGAAATAATAAAAAAAGTATAGTAGCAAGTATAAAGAAAGAAAATTTGTTATTTCATTCGTAATAATTTAAAATTTTCTTATTGCACATATTTTAACTGTAGTTAAGATACACATTTAATTTTTTATGTAACATGAGCTGCTTATATATTAAAACTAAGAATAGAGATTAAACGCGGGTAAAATTTAAAATAATGGAATATGAAATAGTTCTTAAATAGTCATTTCTAAGTTTTTCGAGATATATGAAATTTGCAGAATTAATGTAGAGCCAAAATTTTCGACTCGGACACCGCTCTTTAACCCAGCAATGTTTAATTCTCGTCGATTGTAGCTTCTCGCTTTCGGAGAAAAAGTGAAGAGAGAGAATTTATTTAGAAAAATTCGCGCTAACTAGTGCGTACACGCCTGAAAACTACGAGAAAACTTCGTCGTGACCCAAAACTCGCGCATCAGCGGAGAACCTAGATCCGATCCTGGTTACATTTTGCTACTTTCTCAGAGTGACGACGTGGTAAATATTTCCGTTAATTACGGAGCCGACAAAGCAGCGGCTTCGAATCGCCTCAGCTCGCCTCTACTTTATTGGAATCGGAGGGCAACGCTTTCACGGTATATTACTACTTTAGGCCTGCCGTCGGCCTCCCCGCGGCGCAAAGTGAAATTTATCCGGCGATATCGGCAACCGATCGCGAAAATCGACGCACAATACGCTCTAACGGCGGCCGTAATGACGCTCCCACGAGATTTACGACGGTAACATGCGCTCTATCCTGTGCAACGCGCCATGCACCGCTGAAACGTGTTGCCGCGCTAACGCTATCTGTTAGGGGTGTTAACGATATTGCGATACTAACCGAGTACCGATACTATCGTGTGGACATTTTAGCTCGCAACTCGACACGACTGTGTGTGATATGGTTGTTAATTTGATCGAAGACAAGAAAAGACTTGGGGGTATACCCTCATTAAAAAGTGTATTAATTTTTTCGCCGATAACGATACCGTTATTTAAAATACCGATTTTTTTTTTATCGGACGTCACATCTGCCGCCGACGTACCGGGAGGAGATTCCGGCCGAGAGATATCGACGTGCGATATGAATAAAAAACTCTTTTAGTTCCGAGAAGAGCTTTTCGGAACGTTGACCCTAAGTACAGCGCGATACGAACGGACGTCTCATAAAAAGGGGGAGATTTATCGTAACCGTGATTACGACGAAATTTTCTCCCGAAAGATAAGGCGCTCGTAAACCTACCGAGGTTCGCCACGAGCGTTTGGTACCTCGAGACGCGGGAAAGCGTCCTGGAATCTCTGTATGCACCGAAGCCGCGCCGCGACGTTATCGCCGCGGCGCTGCGCAAGCCCCGGGGAAGGAATTATTCCGCTTCGTGAAATGCCGCGATTTAGCCACGCTTACACGTATGCCGGTCGCGTGTATCGCCGGCGGTAATCGCCGCCGTTAGACACACTCGAGTCGGCTAATCCGCCATTTTTAGTCAATACCAGCCGTTCTCGGCCAGATTAAATTGTTATACTGCGCCGTGCCTTTCCAACCGTAAAAGTAGCACACAATGACGTTAACGGGTAATTAATCTAACAATTGGATAATCCACCAGGTAATGTGTAATTTATCAATAATTCACTAATTAAGTAATTATATAGGTAGGGCAGTTTCGGGATATTTCGACATGCGATAGGTTGCAGCACTCTTATTGGGTTCTCTTTGAATGAATTATCTTCGAAAAGCTATATTGTTATTTTTTTCTATGATCAGTTTATAGATTATAGTTCTTTAATTCATCATTTTATTATCGCATACAATCAATTAATTTTATATAATATCATGCGAAACGTCACAAGCCGTTTACGAAAAATATGTAACAGATACACAAGAATTAGACTTCAAATATAAAAATTGTATGTATGTGTGCGTCTAAATAATATAGAATTCATCTTTGTAATATTTTTATATGAAAATTTAATAGTTATATGTCAGAAACCCGTCATTACATAAATTTTGCAAGTATCTGAATCACCCCAACAAGTGTCGAGATCTCTTTCAATCTAACGAGACGGGAGCCAAATTAAATTTGCTTTTAAGTGTCTATGTTTAGCAATTCCTATTTTTCTGTGTGATCAATGAAACAATCAAAATAAATGTTGAAGCCAATTAAACTGGAATTATTATTTTGCATTAGCACGTCGAAATATCCCTAAATGATCCCAATTCAATAATATTATATATATACCGATGAAATAACTTAATGATAACTCACCGATTATATCAGACAAACGATAATGTATTTAAGTATTTCGAGCATTTTTCACACTATAGCAAGCGATACGACTCACGAATACAATGCAGTTACAACGATGAACGATCGATGGTTGAAAATAAAAATCGAATCTCCCCCGAAGTTTCTCAGCGGGGGACTCCGCCTATTGTTGCGTCGCATCTCCGTCTGCAACGGAAGCGCAAGCAAGATACGAAACGTTCGAGGGCGATACGAGAGCACGCGAAATATCAAGAAATATTACATTTCCATCGTCGCGCGGGGACGTCACGTCGACGCGTCGCCTTCTCCGCCAGCGGCGATGCAATTAACGTCGCGGGCGAGGCGAAGAAGAGGCGTATCACGCGGCCGAGACGCCAACGATTCGCACGACGGACGGGACATTTAACGTGACGCGTGTTACGATCGTTATACCCGTTAATTTATAATAATCGGCCGATGATAAAATTCCGGATAGGTCACGCGCATGTTGTCGCGGGTAGGAGTGGTCGACAATTCCCCGGACCTTTCTCCGCGAATAATAACGCGTATACATAAATGACGAGCGCGCGCAAATTGAGGACTCCGTAAAAAAGGACGAAACGGGGAAATAAGTTGCCGACGATCCGCGATCTGAAGCAATCCAAAAGACCGGCTTGTTTATCTGGCGACTCGGCCGCGCCGCCGTTTTCGACGCGCCTCGCGTCCGGTATTTGTGACGCTTCCCATAACGAAGTAGTAAAAGTAGCGACACCCCGTTAAATTTAAGCATCACAACGCCCGTCCGACGACGATACGCCGCACCCTTATTTCCGATCGCGCGATATTCACGGCCGGCGGCTCCGGACCGCCGTAAATACGCCCGGATGCGCCTAAGGGCGCGAGTTATTTTCATAGCCGCGGCGCGTTACGGTCGCCGTCGACAGAGATATACGCAACGAAAAGCGCGATTGAAATGCACTCGAAGCCGAGGGGATTTAATCGGCGATGTATTGGAATTGACATCGTGCGACTCGTACTCGCGGAGCTTCTCCAAGCCGCCGACAAATTGCGGGGAGAAACGTCGTTCAAACGATTACGATCGCCGTCTTAAATTCCGAAATCTCCGCGGGTTTTGTTATTACGAGAATAACCAAACTTCCCGCGGATTTCCACGAACATTATAAACGCGAGAAAGAAACAAAAGAAACACAAATAAAAGAAGAATTCATAAAATAAACGACTACGTACTTCACTATAAAAAAAGATGCGTCAAAACAACTCGAATTAAAGAAACTCAGTTTCAGGTTGAAAAAATGGCGAATTAACTACTCTAGTTTTTTCAACAAAATTTTGGAAACATTTATTAAACATCTCAATGTTTCTCAATTGAAATAAGCTGAAAATTGAGTTCAATAAGGCGAACATAAAGCTGACCCAACACATTATCGCATTTATTGTCTGATTTATTTCATCACTTAATTCAGAGATAATATTACTCGTATTATGCATTCTATTAACCTTTTGAGAGTATATATATATATATATATATATATATATATATATATTTATTATATATAACTATGTTTCGATTCCGTTAAGGAGGTTGCAACTTATAACGTAACTTGAAATAAGATTGATAGGAAAGATTGATAGAAATTTGGACTATGTATACACTGAAATATTTTATCTAACTGTTCCAGTAATTTAAATTAGCGTGCTATTTTTAATTTCTATTTTTAATATCCTCTAGAAATATAAGCTTTTGATGAAAAATTACTATGATATTAAAAAGTAATACGTAGACATTAAACACAAATTTCAGAATTAATTCATCTTGTTTTGAAAATATGGCGGTGTAAAATTTATTTTGTTTGATAAAAAGTAAATTTATGAGTGACCCCCTTAATGCACTACTGAAAATACGACACTGAGTCTTACACTTTCAACTATTGATCTGACTCAATTTTTGTTCAATCTGACTCGGTTGCAGTTCGTGCAACAAAATTTGCGTAAGACTTGGTTCGTTTTATCGGATTTTCTCCGGTGCAGTGTTACATTACGGTTCGAGCAGAGTATAGTCGTGGGGTTTTACCATGACAGACCGTTACGCTCGAAAGCGTAAACGCGAAACCCTTCGTCCCCCTGACGTCTCGTCAGCTATCCTAAATGCTACGATCATAACTTCACTCACCATCTCGTCGAGGCTCTTGAGATCGTTCGTGACGATCTGCGGCTGCGGGCCGTATATGAGACAGGGCACCTCCTCCTGCATATCGTCGGCGTACTCGTCGTCGCTGTCTTCGTTGCTGGCGCCATTCGCCTTGTTCTCGGCGGCGAGCTCGCGGTCGATCTGTCTCTCCATCTGCACGAGCATCGGCGCGAGCATGCCAAACTTGGCGCCGCGACGGGCCACCTCCAGCAGGCACAGTATCACATGCCGCTCGTTCTTACGCATTATCAAGTCGTCGGTTTCGAAGAGTAGACACTCGATGATGCCGAGGCTGTTGCGGCACCAGCCGATGAAGTTGGAGACGTTGTCGCGGGCGAAGAAGGTGCCGGCCTTGGCGTTCGGCAGGAAGGCCACGTCGCTTAGCTGGCTCATCGGAAGTGCCAGGGCCGAGGTTATCGAGCGTGTCATCGAGATCTTGCGGGCCTGACGACGGGCCACGTAATCGGCCGCCGCCTTCCGCACATTGTTCGCGTGCTGAAATCAGAGGAAAATTCCTCTTTAATGAGTCATTCGTCGCAGGGGGTTTGTAACTTAAACAAATAGAAGAATAATCGGCAGTGAGAGCAAGTTACATGAATCTGAACGGCTGAACGTTGAGGGATATCAACATGCAATGTGTAATTAGAACGCTTGCAAAATGTTATGTTACGAATGTAGGCCGTCGAATCAGAGGGATACTGTTTTATGACAATTAAGATCATTGAGAGAGAAGGAGAAAGATACATCGAGACAAGAGCTTGGGTAACTTAAATGACAAAGCAGTCGCCCGATAAGCGAAAGGTTCCTGTGTTTGATTCTCGATCCAACAATCTCGCGTTCCCAGTGTATTTTCTCTCCGACTCTTGCATATAATGTAAGCAATGTATAGACGTAAGTCATATTGATTGCCGACGGGAAAAGTTACCACACAAAGGCTGACGGAGCGAGACTACTTAAAAAAGATGTTTAAGGTCGAGGATTTCCATTAGAGAAAAAGCATTGATGTTTTTAAACGGCTACACTGAATAAGGAAAAAAATATGTCAACATCTTCATGAGTGAATCATCGAGTAAAATAGGCTAAGATTAAAAAATCAATCTTCGAGCTTTTGAGCCCAAATAACAATATCGATTTTTCCGCTGTGCATAAACGTTCTCGTTTTTGTTAATTACAATAATCTAAAAAAGATATATTATAGTAATTTCTTCCAAGCGTATTTGATAAGCGTATTTTATTCTATTCTATAAATTACAGGTGTCTTGTCGAGCATGATAATACCAGTGTACTTACAGCGTCTTGAATTACAATTTACAACAGATGCGATTTAAATGTATGCCATGTGTACGCCAGTGTTTTGTACCTCCTATGGTAAATGTCGATATTTTATTTCTGACACTTAAAGTATATGCGTGTACGAGCCGTGCGATATTTCATTCCACGCTATTCAACACTTTCCCACACGCGCCGTCTCCTCTTACATACATCGTGTACATAGTTATTCAGATGCGGGGTTCGACATGACATCAAAATCCTGGATTTACCGGGAGCATTGAAATGGCAGATGGCTTGATGACGGTCATCCCTCCGGAAAAAAAAACTTTAATGCAATATTATACTATTGATTTAGATGAGTGTACCAATGGAGAGAGCAAGATAGTAAGAGAGAGATGAGCACACCCTTGTAGGTCAAATATCAACGGCCGTTTCAGCGAAATGAAAGTAACGAAGGGCGAAAAAAAGATTCAATTTTGCTCGCGGATCATGAATATTGCAATTCGCAATAAAAAGAAAAAATATTAAACGAGTATGCACAAAATGATACGGAACAGTGAAGGTTTCAAGAAAATTTTTGCGAATTAAATTTCCAGAATTACATTTTCAGAATTAAATTTCCTCAATTTTTGAAAATGACATTTATTAAGCCAGTCGAAAAGTTCGATACGACTTTCTTTCTTCAACGATAAGCTACACCTTCTTCACAATAGAGATGTACAAATACTGCCAGGACGTTGGCAAAGGATCATAGACAACAATAGGTGGTGGTTGCTCGATTGATGAATAATTTGTTTTTTCCATTGAATGCAATCAAATTAAGTCTGATTCAAAAATTGAACCGAACTTTTTGACTAGCCCGATTCTTTTGACAGATCACACGCTGAATGAAATATTGTAATGAATTGTACGGCCATGAATATTCTTTTATTGTCTAAGCGGCGTCCCTGCCTAATTTAGTTCCTCTTTCAGTTTGATTCCGATCATTGTACATCGGACACGTATCACTAGCCGCAGTGTTATACGATCCCTCTAATCCCTTCCCATTTGCTTAACGCGCGTTTTCTGCGGGACATCTGCTCAAACGACAATGCGTCTAACTGGGTGCTCGTTTTAATGACAGTTCGTTGAACCTCCATGCTGCTCAAACAGACTTGACACGAGATATTCGTCGGAGAGGTATTTAGGTTGCGCCCCGGAAAAAAGAAGCTACATGCGGCCGGAAACGCGCCGCTGCGGCTAGAAAGTCGCCGATGTTTAAACAAAATCGCATTTCGTCTCCATAAACATCGCGCCGTGCGTGCGACGTGCGCTCTCTCGCGCGACGATAGAATTTCAAAGTCACGTTCAGCCGTGGGCTCTCTTCGTCAATGCATTACCAATTATAGAAAGCCTCTCACGTAAAATGACAGAGGAATTTGGAAAAATTTTACGAGCCAGTTCGAAATTACACTCGTCGCGCTGAACGTCCTATTCATCGCATCGCAATAAAATAGTACAATAGCTGTGGTCTGAATTTTATTTCTCTTACGATATCCTTGCAATATCCTCTCATTTTTTTATTATAAAAAGTCTACAGCGTGGGAAAAGCCCTGGACACAGGGGAAGCCAAAATTTTCACGGCCAGAGCTATCGGGGCTCGCTCTTCTGTCCCATAACGAGCATCTAATTGCGCCATAAAATTCCCAAGTTATTGCGTTAGGCGACAACTCTTCCAATCTTCGCGCATCCTTAATGGGGGATCGGAACTGAGCCTTCCTTACGACGCCCTCGGCCCGGCCAGAGGAACTCGCGTGTTCCACGACGCACGAACGTCCCGGATGTTTTAGGGGCCCCACACGAAATGTATCTTCCGCCTGCACGTGGTGGCCATAAGGCCGCGGAGCTGTTTACGTGCGAGTTCCACGACGCACACTCGTAAAAATCATATCTAACGGCATCCGGCTGTTCGGCCGACTCGATACGTCCCGGGGGATAATATAGAGATTAGACGAGTCCGCCAACAGCCCGTTACAATCGAGCCGCCACCGCCGTCGCCGCTGCGGGAAAGCGAGCGACGATAACGACGCCGAGAGCGTTTTGTCGAGGACTCTTCAAATTGATGGCAGGAACATCTATCGGTCGGAGAGATGTGTGGCCGGCCGTCGGAATAAAAGCGTGGCAAGTACGATGTTTTTTAATTCTTTTTTAACACCACTTGGGGTTAGATGTGCACATCTGGGAAGCGAGAGTTTAAAGCGGATTTTTAAAAATTTGAATCATAAGATAAATCATATTGTTCTAAAAAAATAGAATAGTGCACAGATAAAAAGTGCTGGAGTCAAGTAAACGTAATTATCTGTCTTTTAGTCTCTAAAATTTCTATTTCTAATAAATATTTACCAAGAAGTATTGGAGTAACCATTTTACTTGGATCAAGCAAATATTACTTGAACGGTAGCACTTTCCTCAGTATGCCATCTTTGCTACTTTGCCTCCAATCACTCATAGAATTGAGAAGTAAAGAATTGACAAAGAAGATAGACGATACCGAAAAATTGAATGTTGAAGAATGATCCATAAATCAGTCGCCTGTTATTGATTAATTGCTTCACGTCACGTTATTAATTTTAAAGCGTCGCCAATAACGACTGAAGCTCTTCGAGTATTGAGCACCGCTGCGTGCGAGAGGAAGAGTCGCGCTTATAAAAGACGAGAAGTGGCGCATATGGTAATACGGTCGGCAGATGAACCGACGGCAGGATGTCACATTATATGACCCCTGGCCCCCCTCGCTATCGTCGTCGCCTACCACCGGCGAATGCGCCTAATGAAAATGGCCGCTGCACATTCTACGTTTGTAAATTGGAACGGTTGCGAGGCGTTTCATTGCGCCCGAGGGGGAACGTATATATAGTTAAAGCGTAACGCTGCGATGTGGAAGGAAACCAATGAGACGTAACCAACGAGAGCGCAAGTTAACCATTACTCATAACCCCGTAACTCAATTTAGTTTCTCGACTCTGTGTACGCGATAAACCGTTGCGGAAATTTATGGTTGTTCGCCGAAATGCGCGAAAACGAAACAAACACTTTAAGACGTATTGTTGAAATCGCGAACCCGCGTCGTGAATATAATCTAATTAAAATCGTTAAATCTGTAGACTTAAGTACGTCTGTCACGCATGATAACACAAGTAAACATCGTTGTACGAATGATTAAAACCAAGCCAACGTCGATTATCTAATTGCACGATTCAGATAATTACGCCAATATCATAATAAATCGATCTCTTTGTAACGGTCGACCGCAGAGGCACCAGGGGTGATTATCACGTCGAAAGTTACAAGCGCCGACGCCAGCCTGAGGTATTTCATGAAAAAAGCTAATATTAGACGCTAATAAAGCATTCCCGAAATAACGCTCGCTTCCAAACGAGAGGGATCGCGCGCGCTGAAGGCGCGTAATTGACACGCGCGCATTTTACAACGCGCACAATTTAGATTCCCTACGTCCGAGGAAGTTAATTAGTTTCCAGCGCCGGTCACTCTTACAAACGTGGCGGGATTCTTTGCTAGGCAGAGGCGCGAGAAGAGATTCCACGTAAGGATTGTTCGCAATCCTGTCGTTCCTGCGCGCCGGAGGTTAATAAACCTCGACCGTTTGCACGCTAACAGCGAGACTTCGCCCCGGCACAAAAGCGCCGTGAATCATCGCGGGTTCTACACGCGCTTTGTAAGGCCTTCCAGAGCGTCGCACGCGCGAACAAGTATGTAAAATCGTGCGAACGTGCCATCGCGGCCTTTAACACAGCGCCCAGTCAACGACACGTCACAAGGTACTTCGCAGGAAGTGATTCGCATGTCACCGTTAAGACGCGCGACACAGTGATGGATCGACGTGTAAAAATGCTCTTCGGGAAAAAAGTAAGGAAAAGAAACAAAATTGCGCTAAATTTTTTCCCACAGAAATGATCCCGGTCGATCGGTCGATTTGTATACGTATCGTTACGAAAATGTTTTCGCGAACGTTAATGCGACGTAACGAGCATTCCGAGTAGCTATCTATTCGAGATATTTTCTAATCGAGGAGAGTCCCGGCATTCGTTGCGAAAAGAAACGTCTCTCCCTTCATAACTGTCCTAAATTACTTAATAGACGCTTAATGTCGATTAACCGATGACTGATAGCGAGGGAAAAATAAATCCCGCTACTATTATCTCGATGAATTATCATCCCGTTAC